CATTTTTAAAGACAGTAGGCAACTTTTCCACTGCTTTTCCCAAACGCGAGCCAACCACTCTATGTCTCCGCCCTCCACTCCGTCCTCATTGGTCGAGCCTTTTGTTGCCCGGTCTCTCATTGGTTTCAAGACACGTCAGTCAAATTTCTTGCGCTTCTTCGTGTGGATGGACACACGCGTTCCAATGTGTGTCACGTGATGCGTGTGAACTGAACCGTTCCGCTGCACCTTCTGCTTCACTCACACCCTGAGTCCCACATTAATTAGTATAAATAAATGAATGCATTTGCTGGGAAAAAATCTTACAGTGCTTGTTGTAATAAATAGGTGAAATAAACACCTATCTAACACCTAATAAACAGCCAATGCAGGATCACCGCATTTCACATAATTACTTGTTTTCCAAGCGCCTAATGAAAAAAAATTAAAACCAAATCATGATTATTTTGAAGTAGGTTGTGCTTTAACTATTAAAAACGACTCTAAATACAAAAACACATTAAGTTGTTTCATTCAGTAGTATACTAGGCTATAATTCGGTTATCTTGCTCTAGCTCCGAAATCACACTTTTTTTTTAATCATTTGTTTCCAAAAATATATTTCGTGCTAGTAGATAGATCCCTTTCACAAATGTCCAAAGTTACATAAATACAGTTTGGCAAATATTTGCAGTGTTTTTGCGGTGCTGTACTGCAGCCTAGTGGTCACACACACACACACACACCGAAAAACAGTCAGTATCTGGTGTGACGACCACCATTTGCCTCACGCAGTGCAACACATCTCCTTTGCATAGAGTTGATCAGGTTGTTGATTGTGGCCTGTGGAATGTTGGTCCACTCCTCTTCAATGGCTGTGCGAAGTTGCTGGATATTGGCAGGACCTGGAACACGCTGTCGTATACGCCTATCCAGAGCATCCCAAACATGCTCAATTGGTGACATGTATGGTGAGTATGCTGGCCATGCAAGAACTGGGATGTTTTCAGCTTACAGGAATTGTGTACAGATCCTTGCAACATGGGGCCGTGCATTATCATGCTGCAACATGAGGTGATGGTAGTGGATGAATGGCACAACAATGGGCCTCAGGATCTCGTCACGGTATCTCTGTGCATTCAAAATGCCATCAATAAAATGCACCTGTGTTCGTTGCCCATAACATACGCCTGCCCATACCATAACCCCACCGACACCATGGGCCACTCGATTCACAACATTGACATCAGCAAACCGCTCACCCACACGCTGCCATACACGTTGTCTGCCATCTGCCCTGTACAGCGAAAACCGGTATTCATCCGTGAAGAGAACACCTCTCCAAAGTGCCAGACGCCATCGAATGTGTGAGCATTTGCCCACTCAAGTCGGTTACGACGACAAACTGTAATCAGGGCGAGACCCTGATGAGGACGACGAGCATGCAGATGAGCTTCCCTGAGACAGTTTCTGACAGTTTGTGCAGAAATTGTTTGGTTATGCAAACCGATTGTTGCAGCAGCTGTCCGGGTGGCTGGTCTCAGACGATCTTGGAGGTGAAGATGCTGGATGTGGAGGTCCTGGGCTGGTGTGGTGGTCCTGGGCTGGTGTGGTTACACATGGTCTGCGGTTGTGAGGCCGGTTGGATGTACTGCCAAATTCTCTGAAACGCCTTTGGAGACGGCTTATGGTAGAGAAATGAACATTCAATTCACGGGCAACAGCTCTGGTGGACATTCCTGCAGTCAGCATGCCAATTGCACACTCTCTCAAAACTTGCGACATCTCTTGCATTGTGCTGTGTGATAAAACTGCACATTTTAGAGTGGCCAGCCTAAGGTACACCTGTGCAATAATCATGCTGTCTAATCAGCATCTTGATATGCCACACCTGTGAGGTGGATGGATTATCTCGGCAAAGGAGAAGTGCTCACTAACACAGATTTAGACAGATTTGTGAACAATATTTGAGAGAAATAAGCCTTTAGTGTACATAGAAAAATCTTAGATATTTGAATTCAGCTCATGAAAAATGGAGGCAAAAACAAAATGGTTGCGTTTATAATTTTGTTCAGTGTATTTCTTTTTAAATTTCATACTATGTTACTCAATGGTGCCCCACAACTCTTTGGTTACTCATTCTTCAAATTTTCTTTTGTGTTCAGCAGAAGAAAGAAACTCATACAGGTTTGGAACAACTTGAGGGTGAGTAAATGATGACAATTTTCTTTCTTTTTTTTGGGTGAACTATCCCTTTAAGGGTGATTGGACTTTGAAACACGAACCTGAAATGCGTGAGGAAAATGACACCAGTTTGCTAGTTTTCATAAGGTCATAATTATTTTACACAAACCTTTGATGGAAACATGAATATGGTGCACTACAGCAACAAAAATAACCAGTTAGGTTGATGGAACTAAAAAGTTTTGTGACCGTATTATGAAAACTAGCAAAAGCTTGTCATTTTCCTTACTTCATGCATTTCAGGGTCAACGTCCTGTTTGATGCCAGCCCGTCCACCTACATGATGTCACACAAATGAGGGCATCCAATTTTGGCTGAGTTTACATAAAAGGGTATGTCACACATCCTTTCATTATAATATAAACTGGTTTCCTGTTCAAATGGATAGGTAGCATCTTCTTCAGTATTACAGAAATGTATCGTGTGTTGGTGGTTGATGTTTTTAATTTATGGAAAGAAGCCTTAAACAAAATGGAAATTCTGCCCCAATCACCCTTGATTCACACCAATGAAATGGAATTGTACAGCTGATAAAACACTGTGGATGAAATCACTCATTCACGTCTAAAGTTGGTAAGTGCAATCGAGTCGCACCTGCTACATTGAACCGTAAAGAGTTCAAATGGACAACACTTCTGCAAGACAACAAAAAGTTTCTAGTGAGAAAACAAACAAACAAACAAACATATTTTGGGGTAAAACTTTTATTAGTTTATTAGTCTTTATTATTCTCCTTTTTTTAACAATAAATCATAAGAGCATCAACAGTAGCTTATGAGCTTTGAATCTTGAATTTTAAACCTATATTTTAATTAAAACAAATGCATTTCAACAGAAATGTGCACCCAATATAACACTGATTAATATTTAAATATACAAGAGATTTCCAGTCAACAGTCAATTGTAGAAACACAGGCAGTAGTTTGTTACCACCGTTTAATATTGTTGAAACTTAGAATTTGAAATTAACTATGAAATGTAACAGGAATTTACATATAAATAATCAAGCATGACTTTGATTATTCATTGTGGTACACATGAATTCCCAAATGAAATGTACTGGGGGGAGGAATGTGACATTTTGTATATTTTCCCCCTCTCAGACAGTAATGATAATAAAGTAGCTGAGAGAGACTATTACTTTAGCGAACCTGCTATACATTTGTGACACAATCCAACAATTTATACAAATCAGCAGTTCTGACTCATATTGTGAAATGCTCCTTTTAAACCCAAGTGAAAAATGTATTTTAGCAGCAGGTAATATTAGTTAAACTCTTGGTTTAACACAAATATTGCTTTGTCACTGTTATATAAATTAGTTCAAAATAGATTCCTTAAAATGTATTGTATTAATATTTCATTTTCTACTGCACCTGCTTTGTGCATCACGCCATCACCCTCACAACACCCTGAGCTGATACAGAGGTCAAGCATTGTTTTTTTCCTTCATTCATATCCGGCAGTAGCATTGTATGTATACATGTACATAAATTTGACACTATCATGTTTTGCCTTGTCTGTTGTATTTGCTTGATATGCTGTATGCCATTAATGTGAATTTTCTGCTTTTCTGCTCTTTAACGCCTTCTAAAGAAACAAAAAATATGACAAAAAAAGGAAGTATCAAGTTTAACCAAAAACACATACACTGAGGAACTCTAGATCAAAAATCTATCGTAAAATAAAACAACTCTTTTCCATCCCGTATCCTTCCCTGGTACGCACGTACACACACATTCCTTCCTACAAAGATAATTCAGTCAGTCAGAACAAACCCTATTTATGCAGAACACAAAGAGTTTAGTCAAACATCCACACATGCTCACTAAACTCAGCCTACAGCCATTGAAAAACACCAATGCACAACATCTCTGTGAAAAAAAGAAAGCAGATACTGAGTGACGTTTAGTGAAGTAGAGAGTGGTTGAGATGACAGATCATGTTTGGTCATGATGCAGTCACGATTTTCTTCATCATAAGACAATGAATTTCTGGGAGTAACAAATACGAGCCTATCAGATCAAAAAAGACAAAGATCCCCTGTACTCCACCTACTGCCAATGTACAAAGAGAAAAGAGACTCAAACAGCCCCTCCCAAAACACCAAAACACAAGAACAGTAAAATACTTTTTCAGGACGCCCAACTCAACTCAAACAGGAAGTTGAAAGCAAGTTGCATGAAACGGATCTCATGATATATACAGGCCCATTAAGTCTCCCTGAAACATGCATCAGAATTGTAATCATTTTTTTTAAGCCTTTTAAATAGTTCACCTAAAATTTAAATTGTCATACTCACCTTCATGTTGTTACAAACCTGTATGACTTTCTTTGTTCTGTAAAACACAAAAGATGACATTAAAAAACTGCCTTTTAATGGCTTTTTGGTCCATAAAATAAAAGTAAAAAAAAAATATATATATATAAAAAAAAAAATATATATATATATATATATATATATTTGCCAAAAAAAATAAAAGGTGTTTTGGACTCCATTGACTTTCATTGTACGGATAAAAAGAGTTCCACAGAAGAAAGCAAGTTATCCAGGTTTGGAATGGTTGATATAATGATGACAGAATTTTCATTTTTGGGTGAACTAATCCTTTAAATATAGAAACTTTACCAACGGTGCAATCTGTGTGCTCACGTTGTAGTGGTTAGTGTAGTTGTAATTTGTAGTAGATAGTGCTAAACCTAAAGCTCTTAAACAAACCTTCAAAAAAAACACACACTAAAAGCAACACAACTGCACAAAATTGCCTAATATCTCTCTGCTCCCATCTGACGTTTATAGCTGCAGTCTTCCTCAGACTGTATTTCCCATAAGGCATTGATCTTGGCAGTAATCAGCTGGCATGGGGTTTATGTCGTGCCTGGTCTTGGATTGGTCCGTTCTCTGGTGTGGGCATGTTGTCAAAGTTCCAGTCCACAGGATTGAGAAGCTGCAGGGTTTTCTTATGCGTCCAAATGGGGTTGAGGAAGAACGTGAGCAGGAAGAGGCCTATGAAGAACAGGAATCTCTGAACCAGAGGGATGTGTGTGTTCATCTCCTCCCAGTGATTCCAACATACCCACCACATGTAGTAGGACAGAACCATCCGGCAGTGGAACATGTGAATCATTATCCACTGGTTAGCTTTCCAGAACAGAGTCCTGGACCAGCCCATCTTAGCAAATAAGAGAAGGAATGTGAGAATTCATTTAAAACCAAGTGCAAAACAGGGTTTTATTAATTCAAATGTAGTTTATTCATAATTAGCTTCACAGGGGGAATATCTGAATCACTGAGCTCTAATAATCTCAAAAAATCTAAAGCAAATGACAGAACAATTAAAATCGCTGTAGTTCATCCAAAATTAAAATTCTGTCATCATTTACTCACCCTCAAACCTGTATGCTTTTTTTTTTTTTGGTGGAACATAAAAGAAGATATTTTGTAGAAAGTTTCATCAATTTTTGTATGGATTTTTTTTTTCCTAAATATTTTTTTGAAATCCACAGAAAGTTCATAACAACATGAAGTTAAGTAAATGACTGAATTTTCTTTTTTGGGTGAACTATCCCTTTATGTCACTCAGCAAGAGTGTCTTCAAACTATTGATCCATCAAGACAATATTTGACTTGAAAAAGAAAACTTATAGATAATATATATATCTATACTATCCCTTGCGCCAATGATGAGAATGCAATGCATATTTATGTTACGAGTCTAGAGACTAGACATTTTTTCTTTAAAAGTCAATTTTCTTTTAACTTCTTTGCCGTCTTTTTAGAACGCTGTGTCATGCATGAGACTCTGCAAGACGCAAGGCGATAAGTGGAGCGTTTAAACGCGTCCATCTAACGCATGCTTACCTAGAAAAACTATGAAAAGTGGAATGCAAAAAGCATTCTATGTGAACCTAAGGGGTTGTTCCACTACAGAAAGCATTTTTGCAATTAAAAATGCGAGGAATGAAGGCAGTGGAATGAAAAATGTTCTATAGATGCATTTTTAAAAAAGTTTTAACTTGAGCATTGCATTTTTAGAATGCTGTGTTATACCCAAGATGCTCCAAAAGTCGTGAGAAGAGATCAAAGGTCAAACACATCCGTCTAGCACAGGAATGGGCAACTTCGGTCCTGGGGAGTTTAGCTTCTCCAACCCTGATAAAAACTCACCGGTAGGTGTTCACAGCTGTTCACACCATCACAGCTGTCTAGTAATCCTGAAAACATTGATTAGCTTGTTCAGGTGTTTGATTAGGGTCCCTGCAGGACCGAAGTTGCCCATCCCTTGTCTAGCACCTACAACACCTTAAATGGCTAAAACTTATCAGTGAAAAAGAAAAAGTTCCTCTTTCTAAGAACAGTGTACAAATATAAAGCAGAACTATAGAAGTGTTCTCAGCGACCAAGCATGATAAATTGTTGAGTAGAGGAAGAAAAACATGTTTTTCCCCAGACCAAAATAGAAGTGAAACTGTCTAACAGGTGAGAAAGCAGAGGCGTTTCATAAGATCGCTACAGTCTTCAGACAGTTTATTTGCTCCTTTGCTCACAAAAAAATTCCCTGCACAAACATATCTATTAACAAACTGCTCTAAATCTCACAAACTGATTGAGTTTTCAAGAAAAAACATTTTCCCTTGACCATTGCGTCTCACCTTAAGCAGCATCCAGGAGATGCAGGTGAAGGGTGTGCTCATCTCCATCAGCAGGGTTACCATAGGCAAGAAATGACCCAGCCAGTCCCACACAACCGCCCCAACAAACCCTGAAAGGGCAAAGAAGTGGTGCGCAGCTAACGGCAGATCGAAGGACCGGAACACCACGTTGGACCCATGAAGGGCCACATTTTCAAACAAAAAAAAGCCAGTAGCGGACAGCACATTGAACCACGACCAGTCCTCCTGCCCGAGAATCTTATCAGAAAAGACAGCAGAGTCCTCCATGAGCGCTCGAAGCCCTGCCACCATGCTTTGGATGCCAAACACAGCCCGTGTCGCAGCTAGATCCCAGAAGACCTTGAAGCAAAGATAAAGATTGTAATGTTAGGAAAATAATCCAAATGGTAGAATATCATATCAACAAAAACTGAATCTTTTATGAAAAACCAACCATTACATTAACATATTAATGGGCACCTTTTCTTTGGCTGACAACGAGCGGTATGTGCGAAACAGCAGTTTAGACAGGATGTGAGAGAGGATGAAGATGAAGGTGTAGAAGATGAAGCTCAGGCAGATGATTTTCAGTCGAATGTCCATGGAGGAGTAGTCCATGCTTAAGTTGTGACCCGAGGACAGTATTAAGTTATCTGGCTGGGAGGACATTGCTCAGATTTCACAGTCAGTTTCCATGGAACAATTTACTAGTCTAGAACGAGAAAAAAATCTCATTACATTATACAGACACACCCTCAACCTATCCCAATTATCTGCATTAACGTTACTCACTAAGAGAAAATGCTCTGCCCTTTACTGCAGTGTGAAACCAAATCTTGACCTTAAACACCATGTGAAGGAGTAAAAGTAGCTGGTGGAGACTAAACATCATTCATATGTTCAGTCTGCTCTTAGCTTTAAGTTATGCTTTCTACAGTTAACGTTACTAACTAACTTAAACATCTTTTCGACGTTACAAGTCTCTGCTTAGTTTGTTGTTTCGAAAAGTGTGTTGTCTTTGTTCTTACCTCTTGTAGACGAAATGATGTCCAAGAAACTCATTATTTCATGCGTATGAAAGAGTTAAACTAATAATGTTTTCTTTTGACACGAGCTCGACAATAACATTGCACACATTCCTTCACCGGGCGGCCGGTGACTCACATTCGATTCGAACGCTCCAGAGACCGACAGACATCATGTGACCCCATCTAGTCACATGACTATTATAAACGCTGCTCTGTCGCCGTCTGCTGGCAGGAAAAAGCAGAAATATATTGAATTCACTTTAAATTTAAACACTTTCCCCAATTTTAAATGCTTTCACTATGTGTTATATAGTTAATACGTTCAAATGAAGATTTCAATATTTATTAAAAAATATTACGGTGGAAATTGTGTAGTGCTGTACTGCAAAAATTAAAATCTCTTTTGATGGATGTATTGCTTTGAACTGAGTTTAGTCAGATTATATTTTTATTTATTTATTTTTACTCAGATCAGGGTTTAAATTAGTGATAATTTTTGTTTTGTCAAAACCGGTAATAAAACACCTCTGAGACAATTCTGTTAGGAAAAGTTAAAATCATTGTGTTGATATTGTGTTGTGTTAAAGTAATTCAGTTAATTCAAGACAATCCACAGAACTCATTTCCTTCAAAAATTTAATGACTGAATTATTTACAATGTATGATCATAGCAATAATTAAGTCATGAAAAGAAACACAAATAATCCAGATGACCAAGAACAAAAAGTCAAATTCATAACACAAATTAATAACACAATTTAAACATTTCATGAATACATACAAAATAAAATAAACTGATAAGTGTAACAATAAACAACATTCAAAAAAGGGATTTGGAAAAGCAATGAAGCAGAAAACCCCACATTCAGCATCAGAATGGTGCATGCCACCCAAAGAAACTCAACTCAACCAATAAGGAAGAGCAGAAAAAAAGTTTTGCTTCAACAAAGTGTATTTATATTATATATATATATAATTTATATATAACTATTTATATAATTCTGTACAAATAATGAATATTTGGTATTATATTCACCCTTCATATAGATATGATATACAGTTTAATAAATGAAAATATTCTCAGCTAAACAACTACCTTTTTCACTTGTTATTTTCACTAAGATTTTATAATCTTTTCACATTCTGAGATCCAGGATTAGTCCAGTCCCAAGAAGAAGAAACCAAGAACTGGGGCATCTCAGTCCGCGCCGGTACCCGCGCCGGCCCGTTGGCTGTTTTTCAAATACTGTGGTTCGGAGGGTAAATCATTTTGAATGAATCATTTCTTTTTGATAAATACTGACATATGATTTATTTTGATGGAAATAAATGAAGCAAATGTACATATGAGTAGCGTAAATGTACATGAGGTTAAACAAGATGACCACCCAGTGCAACCCTGTAGAGGAAAATATGGCCATCATACAAACAAATCAACATTTGATAATTGACTCCACTGTTTTAAAAGGTGGGAAGTGAGCATTTATTCTTCCAGGTGGTTTATTAAAGGTCAGCTCACCATAACGCTTTCAGACTGTCATGATGAAACATGGTGTGTGTGAGGATCTATAAACAGCAGAAGCTGTTCAAACATGTGGCACATAAGCATATTTGGCATATAAACACTGCCTGCATTACTGGCATGTTTTGCATATTGATAATTGAGCAGGTTAATCAGAAAGGACAGCTGCCACACTGCAGGACCGGATAACCAACCATAATTACTCATGATATAGAGAAAAACATGATTTAAAATAATCATTTCAGAATCCATTCACTTCGCCATAATGAAAAATTAAATATCATATAATCAGGATGAACAAACAATGACCAACTATATCTTAAGCAAACTTTAACAAAGATTAATAAATGCTGCAAAACATATTGTTCATTGTTAGCTCATGTTAGTTAATGCATTAACTAATGTTAACAAATGAGACCTTATTTTAAAGTGTTACCCATCAGTTTAGAGTGTATTTCAACAGTCTTGACTAGTTTGTAAGGCCAGGAAAGCGTCAGCAATGACCTTTGGATTTCTGTAAACGCTGAGGGCCATGACTCGCACAACAAAGCCGTAATTTGCCCAGAACTTGTTTCAAATAATGACTAGCAAAATAATCAATCAAAACCTTTGTTGGTGTGAAATGAGAGCTAGTACACTGTATCGTGACTTTAGACACAATTTACAACTGAAACGTTGTGTTTTGGCTCACGTTTCAAGAAAATACTTCCAAAATTTCCTCTAGCGTGAAGTAATCTTCATCGGTTACAAGCCTCTCTTGGATGAAATGCTGTAATTGTGTTTGAACTACGACTTAAAGCAGAAAGGTACAGAGCACAGAGAAATTAAAAGAAAATATTTGCTTCTAAAGGAAAGCTCTTCTCAAGGTCATCTTGTGAAGGATATTGAGAATGTAAAGCTACAAGGAATTTGTGTAGATGTTATCAAACTAATCTCCTCTAATCTTTGGCCTCTTCGGCTTTTATGACGCCGGGGCAAAAACCGCAGAAAGCGGGGGAAATAGTTTGCCATTTGAAATGAAATGTGACCGTGCTTGGTAGACAGTCCATTTCTGTAATGATATGTTGTGGATAAAACAAAATTCTTTGAGAAGGCTTTTAAATCTGTCCGCAAGTCGAGGACGAGACAACCAGAAGTGTTCATGCATTTACACCATATTAACAGAATATGTGTAGTATAGTGTTACAGCTGAACTGCTGGATGTTTAAGCAGAAACTAAAATCTCAGGAACAGAAAGTGGGTCTCTTCAGTGATATATTCTGAATGATTGTATAACAATCCAAAGCAGCACTGACCTTCGGTTTTGATCATCTAATATAATCAACCATCCTGTGTACTGCAGTCACCTGTTCGGACAAATGCCATCAAATAGACTCAAGAACAGTTCTACTTTGATTATAGAGTTACATTTAACTTATCATTCTGCACACTCTCACAGATGTGTGGTATTTGGACTGCAGGCAGTCTAATAGATAAAACATCTATCACCAACCGCCAAGCCATCAAGATAATTATGGGAACACCCGACATCTCCTTCAACCGAGACAGAATCATTGATTCTCTGTCAAGACATACAGAAAGGACATAAAAATAAGTTTTTTTTTGTGGAGAACATGGGTCAGATGCTTGATAACAGCATATGGAGAGAAAAATGGTTCAGTAAAAATAAATGCAAACTGATGAATGACCATGTGAGGCATGAAAACATTCAGAGACCTGAAACAATAAATCAATAGTCTCACAAAACCTTGCAATTCAACTGCAACAATATCTTTTAGAACTTCATTTCCCTTGGAAATACATACAAACATACATTTAGAAGAAGAAAGTGCAAAAATGCATTTTTGAACCTTGACATTGTTGAATTTAGGGTTTAAGCAATTGCACCCAAAATCCTAGTAATTCCTCAAGAATGACATAAACCATAAACATCAAGTATGTAGTAGTGTGACAGCTGTATATTTGATATCAGTAAGTAGGAGAATAATAAAAACTGATCTCTAATCTCTCTGACAGTGTAAACCCTCAGGCTGAGATTTAAGTTTACCCATAAGAGTGTGACCAACAATGTTTTTTAAAAGGCTGTGACTGTGACTGTCCGCTCTGGCCTACGGCTTCAGTCTAAAATGTATGATTGAGGTATTTCAGCACTGGCACTTACATAAATGCTCACAAAAGAGTTCATGAGAAAAATACTATGAACTTCACTGGGAAGAAAAAAAAGAAATACAAAGAAAGAAAGAAAGAAAGAAAGAGAGAGAAATTAAATGTAACCATGGAAATATAAAGCTACTAAACTTGAATGGATGAAACCAGATGAACCGAACCTAAAGACTTTTCTTCAGGTTTCTTCATTTAATGAAAATAAATAAATAATTTAGATTTGAGGCGTAAAAATGCCATTTTTTCCCATTTTGAAAGTGCTAAATGGATGTCATAAAGACAAAGGGATCATCAGATTGGACTTGATATTCCGCTGTGATTACAGCTTAAATCTAAAGTTTTGCTTCATCAAGCAATGTCATTATCACGTGGGTCTACAATTGCGATATGTTGTGCAATATGTTTATTTTGGTGAAGTATGTCTCCCTAAAAAGGAAAAACTTCACATGGATGTTGTAGGCAGTTCTGAAACAAGTTACAAAACCCTATTGACAGGTACGAAACCCTTGTTTCTTTTGATTCGCTTGATGAATGTATTGTGATAGTTTGAACTGGCTCTGTTACTGAGAATGATGATGATGGTATTATAAAGGTGTTCCCTGTGACTCTCAGAGCCGTGTTTGGGCCTCCGGTATATAGATCTCGATGCTGTCGGCCCGCTCTGATGCTGAGTTTTGGCGGAATGAAGCTGCGCGTTTGGCCGCCATTAGGCGTCGTCGTGCCTCCAGTCTCTGACGATCAGGGAGATCCAAAGATTTTTCCCTCGTCACACTCTTACGCAATGTCTTCTTTGGTACTGGCGGCGGGAGCTGGAACAACAACAAATAATATCCAAACACAAGATATGAATGTACAAATAAATGTGTGTCAGGTAATATCTGCAGCAGAATAGAGATATATTACATATTTGATTTAATTAATAAACTATACACTACTGTTCAAAAGTTTGCACCAAGACTGCAAACTGAAATATTGTGGGGGTTTTTTTTTACCCTTTAAAACAACTGTTTTCTATTTTAATATATTTAAAAATGTAATCTATTCCTATGATGGCAAAGCTGAATTTTCAGCAGCCATTACTGAAAACAATTGCGCTCCTTAAAGGGGTAGTTCACCCTAAAATGATAATTAAGTCATCATTTACTCACCCTGGTGTTGTTCTAATGCCATATTCCTTGACTTATTTTTCGGACCACAAAATGAGAATTTTTTTTTTTTTTTTTCTGCTCGCACTCGTCCATATAATGGTAGTTAATAGAGTGCTGCAGGGATGACTTCAAAACTTGGAATACTAATTCGCCAGTGTTCGCCTCTTATCAAGTTACTTATTTTGGAACAATTATTCTTTTTTTAAAATAAACATAACAGCTTCAAATTTTGTGTTTTCAATATGGGTGTGTGTAATTTACGTTGTAGAGCAAAACGTCCAAGTATC